TAAGAGTTGAGACTCTTGCCAGCACAGCCATCTGTCAAGAGATTATGGAGAAGAAAATTTCCGCAGGAATTTTCCCTTGGGACCAGATGAAGTGCCAAGAAAAGGTGTGTGGCATCAGGAGTGAGGACAAACTCTGAGAGTCTTCCGCAGTGCTTATCACAGACAGAGAGGGAACCGTCAACCCACTGGGTCTGAGAGAAGACAGTGCAGTCTCTGTATTGTTTTTGGCCAGAGAACCTAGTTTGTCTTAACAAGAGGTCATGAAAACCAGTGTCTTTTAAGGTAAGTTAAACTTTGTTGTATTGAATCCTAAAATTTTTCTGTGATTCAAAGACAATGAAGTAATATGTTGAACTTTGCATACTAAGGATTCTAATACAAAAATGAATGTGAAGTTTGAGTCAAATTGCAGAAGGTGATCAAAAAATACTTGAGCAAAAATGAGAATGTCATTTTTTTTTTAATTTGAATCTTTGGAGTTTATGAAAATACCCAAGACATTTACTTACATGAAATGTTGTACTAAAATGCTCTTTTCACTTATTTCTTCCAAGTAAATGCTGGGTGATGGACTCATGAGTATTTGCCTCTAGGGAATTCAGTTCATACCATGCTGTGAAATAATTAAAAACCATACAATCATGAAAGTTACAAGAGTTAATAATAGGGACAAATATTTCATAAAGTTCCTGGAATCATGTCAGGAAAAGATAGTTTAATTTTTAATTCTGAGTAGACCTTAGTTCATTCCCTGACCTATGTTCCCATATAGTACATTTTGTGTTTTTAACAATATTTATTCCCCATTTTCTTTGTGATTAATTTTATTTTTCTTTTTTAAGATAAGAAAATATGTTGATTATAAAGATGAAATAAAAATACCACAGATTTATGGTCTAGATTACAAGATAAACATGCATTTTTTATTTCAAATTTTTTAAGTCAGAAAAAGAGTTATCTTTTTAAATGACAAGAAAATAAACGTGTAAGAAGATAGGTCCCATGCTAATTTAGCAAGTATTTTTAAACCTATAGTACTGATAAGAAATTGTCAATCAGAAATTGGGATTAAATGTAGTTTAATTCAATTTTATATTATCTTGATCAAAATAGAGACATTTCATTTATCACATTGGTTACTTAGAGAAATGGATATGAACAGACATAAATATAAATGCTAAACAGTGGTAAGAAATAATCTTATGGGAAAGAACACCAAGTCCAAGAAAACAGTGCAAATTCTGAGGGATCACAGTGATCCAGTGTTAATGCTGGCCCTGTGCCCATATCAGATTATTGTGTCTGTAACTGGAGAGAAATTATCATGTGAATTTAAGTCAAATTATCCTATGAGTTCAATTATAGTGGAAAATTAATTTTAATAACCCAGGTTTTTGAATCTTCCTCTCTCTCTTACAAAAGAACAGTTTTGCCTGAATCATCAGCATATTGTTTACATTCTTTTTTATTTCATTATTTCATTCAATCTTCCGTTCACTTTTCCATTTAACCAATATTTAGTGAGCGATGTTCAGGTAGAGGGCATTATCGGGCTAGGCATAAAAGTAATGAATAGATGTGGTCCCTACTCTCAAAAGGCTTACAGTCCAACACATGGCATATAACTTCTCCATTCAGCTTCAAAATAATTTGAAAACCAAAACTTAACCTCATGTTGTTGAAGTAATATTTAAGACTAACCGAAGTTAAGGCTAACAGAAGTTAAGTGACAGCAGTAGGAAGTATCTGTGTTAGTAATGTAATTCAAGACTTTCAGTGCATTGATTATATTGGTACTTGAGTATTTAAAATTTTTTTAATTAGTAAGGACTGAAATAAGCATTTTTTACTCTGCTCTTGGATTTTCATTAAGTATAGTTTGAGGTTCTTTACTTTAGAAAATGTGGAATAGGTTAATTTTACACATAGAAAAAGGGAATTCCTGTTCAATAAAAAGTAGACAAAGTATACTGGGATATTGACAAATACTGCATCTCATTTGTGGTGAAAGTTATCTCTCTGCATCTAGGGATACATCTCTGTATATTAAGTGTATTTGAAATTAGAGATTAGATTCTTACCTGCTATATCCACTCTTGTTCCTAAGACTGATTTGGGGGTATATGCATTTCAAGCATTTTTCGGCAATATTACAATAGTTGGTCCTGAACAAAAGTGATATTTAAGTTTTGAGTTATGGAGATCATCTCTGGGATCCTTGCCAGAAATAATGAAGTTCTCGTTTGGATGAGTGGGTCTGGAAACTGTCACCTCAAATAAAATGCGTTTTATGATAGAGTGCGATTGCCATATTTTTTCAAAATAATGAAATACTAAGTTTAATAGTCAGTATTTTGATAATGTAATGTATGTACAGCAATATGAATATAACATTCTTTTCATAGAGAATGGATTAGTCAAAAGGGAGCAAGTTGGAATCATGTAACCATACAACTGTTAGGAACAAAATCTGGGGCAATTAAAATAAAATCATAGTTCAAAGGCCTATGAGTAAAGAGAGCAACTGATTGCTTTTGACTTGTTTTTTTTCTTTCAGGTAAAACGTATAGTAGGTTTCTAGTTAAGAGTTTGATGTTTTTAACCTTCATTTATTGGTCACAAAACATGCTCTTGTACTATATATTTTTAAATATTTGTCCCCTTTTGTCTCTGCTGAGCACATAGTGGTGGAGGGCTCATTGTTTTGGAGGCTGCCTGATGATTGAGGGAGTCCTAGTCTCCTCCCCGCCTCACTAGCACCTGATTGCTTTAGATCCAGAAAGTGGTAGATCAACTTCTCTTCAGATTCAGTAAATCACGTGAAGTAGTGCGGCATTATCTTTAAGCATGAGGTGCTAATATCAAACTTGTTGGGTTTCAGTCTTGACTTTTCTAATTACTACTTTGTGAGGGCAAGTCTCTTACCTACTTTTGCCAGCTGTAAAATGGGCATAAAAAGGGCACTATTATTATTGTGTGGATCAAGTGAGATAATGTACATACAGTGCTTACCATGTTGTAAACTCTCACAAATATTAGCGATGATGATGGTGATAAGAGTTTGAAGAAATTCAGACCTTCCCAGTGCCTTGTTTGAATTCTTGCACTAGCCTCTAATGGTGTCCAGTTTGTGGTATCTTTATTGCATCCCATGCAAGTTGCCAGACAGCTTTCTCAAAAGCGCAAATCTGATACTATTACTTTCCTAAAGTGGCTCTCCGTTACCTTTGACTAAAGACTCATACTCGCTAGTATGGACTACGAGACTCCTCTGTCACCCTCTCTGCAGTTTCTCACACCTCTGAGTCTTGGCACATACTGGTCCCTCTGCCTGGAACCCTTACTCCTGTTCCTTACCTGCCTGATTTGAACTTAACCTTCAACACTCAGCTAAAGCCATCAGGAAGACTTTTCTGACCCCACCTTCACCCACCCCTCTTTATCCTCAGGACTGTACATGTTTCTAGTCTGTCAGCTTGTCATTTCCTTCAAAAGACCGTGAACTATTTGAGAACAGGGGCTATATTTTTTTCATTAACCCAGAATTTAGTACAATTTCTGTGACACAGAAGATGTATAATAAATGTTAATAGGTTGAATGAATGTTCTGGTGAGCAGGCAAGGAGCAGTGATACTTCTCCTTTTATGACTGTGTTTATCTTCTGGGTACTGATGTCATGCAGAGGTACTGACATAAACACATGTCTCCGTGAAAGGCAAGGCAAGAATGGCCAAAGTACACTCTGTGAACATGCTTTTGCGTCTCTAAAAACAATCTTACTTTATCCTTTTTTGCTCCTGAGCTGGAATAAGAGAACCAGATAGAGTGCTTTTAATCTGAAACGTAAGTTTTAAACTGTACATTGACAGTAAAGAACGAATTATTTTTGTTGAAATTTTTGATCAAACTAGTTGGGCTAATGTATCACCAGAGTGTTGGTCAGAAACTTCTGGATCTGTGTTGTTCACCCCTCTCTGTAGAGTTTATTTAATCTTGTGATTGGAAGTCAAGATTGCAATAGTTCTTAGAATGATTATATCAGTATAGATGTAAAGATGTGGTCTTAGGAAATAAGATTCATATCCTAAAAATACTGTATTAAGCTATTAGTGTCATTAGGAATAAATTCAAAATGTTTATGGAAACAATTGAGCTATTTTATGAGACTCAAATTCTATGTTTTGCTGACATTTTGACAATGAATTGGGATTTTAATGCAATTTGTATATTTTTGAATAAGCAAATAGAGAAGACAGGTACAATCCCTCTCCCTTCTTCAAATGGTGAGCTGCTTCTAGATGCTCCAGTTTTGCATTTCCTGCCCTTTGAAATAAACTGTTTCAATCTGGAGCAAGAGCCTCTATGCCCAGGTTCCTGCCCTTTTCTCTAGCACCCGTTAGGGGTCTCTGCCACTGCTGTTATAACTATTAGAAGAGCAGAAGAGGGAAAATATCTCATCACTGGCATGTGCTCACTGCTGCATTTCTCATTCTGCTGCCAGCTTCCACTCATCGGCCCCTTCTCTTTCTTGGCACCCATATTGGAAGTGACCCTGCTTGGAGTCTCGCTTTCAAGGTTCCATATCTGTAGCACTGTGCAGTGAACCAAGACTCAGCACCAGCTAGTTGCATAGGTCTTGGCCTAATGTGAAACTTGTCAGGTGGCTGTGCTATCTCCAGGGTTTTCTTTGTTGACCCTTAATATGAAAGCAAGTTGTGGCCAAGCTGGTTTGGAATGAGAATATCGCAACCCCAAACTTAACTGCTCTGAGAATGAGTTATACCAGAGTAATAAGGAGTTATAATCACACTATACTACCTTCTGATGTAACCATTTAGTTTTCCTTCTATCCTTTACTCTTTATGGTCTACTCAGAAGGGTGCCAAAGGCTACTTTTTATTTTTTCTTTCAGCAATATGGACTGAAGGTCTATTGTGCCGACTAATATTTTAAATTAAAATTTTACTCCTTGGGTAAATGAGTCTACATGTGAATTCTCTAATTGCTTCTTTGTGTTTCCAGGACCTGGCATAATCCTTGGCACGGAGTAGATATTTAATCCTTGTGAATATTTGAATGCGATACTAAATAGAGTTGGAGTGCCTAGTATATATTGGCAACTTGGAGAAACTGTATAGATTCTACTTCACTTTTAGGAAGACAGATGAACTGGCATCAGAAAATAGCTGAGAGACCATTGGATTTCTCAGAGATTTTCACGAAAGGACAGTCACAGGAAGGAGCCCTTAAGGCCCGTTATGAGACCTCACAAATCATCACTTTTTAAAGCCCACTTCAAAGGTTATACAGGAACACAACTGGTAGGGGGGGACCGTGGAATTCCATGGACGACAAGTCAACAATGCCTAGGGAAAATATCTAATAAAATACTAATTTTGAAACTGTTTTATGTAGTTGAGAAGTCCAGATTAAAAGAATAACAATCAAATGGAAACTGAATTAATTGACAGATTTCATCTATGTATATAATTCAGTTCCTGTTTCTATTCTTGTTTCAATAGCAGTTTCTCTGCTGCCCTTCTTCACAACATTGCTGCAATAAACACCTTACTATTGTCTGAGTTCTGCAAAGTTGTATACAATATAATTTCTGGTACATGTATGCATGGAATTCCTTTATTACTAACAATGAACACAATGGAAGTCTACATTTATATAGTAGTTTATATTTTATTAGTTATAAATGTTAGCAACGTGAGGGACCTTAGCAGGTCTAAACAAATTTGCTCATTTGATAGATGAGGGAACTGAGTCATAAAGTGATTAACTTATTTTTTTCCCCCATGGAAAAATTAACCAAAAATTGTCATTCAAAGTTATGTTTTCTATTATATGAAAAGTGATTGCCAATGAGACGCTCAAGGTCAAGGTTGATATCTGGCTTTATCTTCTTTTAAAAATGAATTTAATGACTTCATTAAAATCTAGGGATATATAAAAGGCAGCAATACTATCACTCCATTAACAGAGATTTACTTATCAGGATTTCAAACAAGGAATTCATCAAGCTAAAATTCTTTCCAGAGAACAGAACTGTCCTATATTCAGGGAACATGAGGCCCATATCTTCTGTCATGCCCTTGAAAATTCTGACAACATACTCTAAAATGGCTGCAAGAGGCTGCTTTCTGTCTCAGCTGGCTCAAGGTATAGAAACTCTTTGGAGGGCCAATATGCTTCGAGCATCCTGGCATGTCTGTTCTGAATCAAGCTTCCATATTCCCAAGTTAACCTACCTAGATATCCTTAAGGCTGTTTATCCTTCTAGGTGTCCTTAAGGCTGAGAACTGGCCTTTAGAGGAGAGTCATCTCCCACAGCGGCTCAAGACCCAAGGCTATTCAAGAGAAAAGGCAGAAACAAGTACAGGAAAAAAGTGAGTAACGCTTTGGTACACACTCACATACATACACACACACACAAGAAGTTTACAGAGAGAGCAAAACATACCATGGCAGTGACTTCTTTATCTTGAATAAAGAACTAAGTTCTTTAAAGAAAAATGGCATAATTAGAATAAAACTGTCTTGACTCAGAGAATCTATGGTCCTGTCAAATTAGCCTTTCTGATCCTTGAACTTGCCGAATTTGTCTTTGTTTCAAGACCTTTGCATCAACTATTCTGCTACTTGAAATGCTCCCCCTTTATGTTCATGTGACTGACTTCTTGTCATCATTTGTAATTTTCAACTTAAATATCAACCTCAGAGAGGCTTTTCCTGACCATTCTAAGAAAGGCAGCCTATTACTGCCTGACATCACCCTATTTTAATTCTTTGCATTGCATTATGCTCATCAATAACTAATATTTTTTATTGTTTACATTAAAATGTGTATTCTATCTTCCCCCTTACCTTGGCATAATATAAGACCCCATGAGGGCAGAATCTTGCTTGTTCCTTTATATTCCTCACTTGACACCTAACAGATACCCAATAAATATTTACTCAGTGGATAGCTTTTTCATCACCAGAGATTAAAAAGTTGAATTATAACTGGTGTTTAATAAAAAGTTGTTTAACTGAATTTGAGGACTAATAATAGTGGAGGGAATTCCAATAAAGTTATCTCTCTCACAATTTTCTTTGACATTTTCCTTCCATTTACTAATTTGGGGTGAAATGTCCTTGATAGTTTGCCTTAGATATGAAAAAAAATCAAAATACTTGATACAAGTTTTGGTGAGATTTAGCATTATACTGAAGTTTGATTTTAAGGCAGAGATGGTTTCTATATATTTCACAATTGATTAACCAATCAACCAGAATACATTGAAGGGTCAGGTTTATGAGATTCCTTTACTTTGTATTTATGTGTAGGCTTTTAGATGAGGAATATGTTTAGACTAAAAGTATCATGCCGTTATTTTTATTACAATGTGTGGCGCAGTGCTGTTTTCTTTAGTTCTGTTACTTATGTTATTTACTTCTGTTGAAAAACAATGACAGAGGGACACCACTAATTTTAATACAGAGTTTAGTAATGATGGTTTTGTGATGGTAAGCAGAATCAATGACAAGCAAAGTAACTTATTTTCATACAAAACTAAATTATAATTGCCAGATATTTATTTATTTTATTTTGGCAAGTCTAGTAATCTTCTAAAATAACCTGTTTGATAATATTCTGTTAAGAGCACATCAAGAGCACGGGGTGACAACTGATTCCAAAAAGTATTGTGTAATTTACTTTAATATGCTGACAACAAATCTGTACCGATTTATGAGAACACTGGATGCAGATGAAAGCCCAAGAAATGAAAAGGGCATATTTCGGTAACTATAACACACCCCATTATCAAACCTGAGACTGAGATTGGCACATACTAAAAAATGTTGCTATCTCTTAATCTGCCACTCCAGCATGTTTCAAAAAATTCCATAACCAATAACTGGGTCTCCCAAAACATACTTCCATACTTCCCTTACTGCCCAAAACATTCAGTGCGTCTGTGACGTGGTCCTGATGCTGTGGTTTTTGCTTGAGCATGACGAAAACCACGTGAGATGCCTCTGTCCTCCAGTGCATCCTGGACCCTGCTGTTCTGCTGGATTTTGCTGACATCAAACGGAGTCCTTAGGGTTCAGAAAGGCTGGGCAGGTGCACCAGACACATCAGAGGCAAATATGTAACAGCACGGAGCATTTCTGCTTGGCTTGTTGGGTTTGACATGCCAAAATAGCCCAGAAGGAATAGTAGTGCCTTTTGAAGTAGCTGAGATGCTTCCCCGATGTCACTTCTCTGAGTTTTAGATCAATGCCTGGAAGATGAATCAGAGCATGTGAGAAGAGTCACGGAGGGGAAATGTGTTGGAAAGCTTGCAGGAGTGAAGCACCCGAGCCCAGAGGAAAGGTGGGGTGAGATGTGCAAAGCAGGAAAAAAACAAAGGGCTGAGTCATTGGAGGCCTAATTGACAATGGCACAGCTGTGACAACAATTTGCCGGCAGCCTGACCTGTTTGATGAAAGGGCCTCTGCTTTCCTTGGAACCTCAGAGTTGCGGCGACTCACAGGAATGCACCACTCATGTTTCCAGCTGGCTCAGCCTCATAAATACCTAAACTCACAAGATGACATTTTTAATGCTCTGCAGTTGCTATTCTGCATTTATATTTATTGCAATTCAACATATCCATTAGTGCATCTATCATTGATAAGTTTGTCACTGCTTCAGGAAAACAGTCCATCATGCTGCATCAATTTCCCTTTACAAGGTATTAATGTACTGTAATGCAGCTTACAATATCATGTGGATATATTTGATTAGAGAGGTGCCAGAGTCAGTCAGATTGAACTGAGAATTGCAAGAGGACCCAAAATCTTAATTTATTTATTGTAAAGATGAACAGCCTTGCAGCACAGTGAATGTGTTAATACAACAGGTGTATCTTTTTCACCTTCTCAAACAGGCACTGAAAAGAACAAACTTAAGCAATATATTTTGACTCAGTTTGAAGCACAGCAGACCTACAATATTTTGTTGACCCTTGACATGTTTAGCAGAATCATATTCATGTTTTAATATTTTCTGCATGCAGTTAGCAGCTTTATTCAGGAAACAATGATGGCATATGAGTCCAGGAGATAGGACCAACTATGGCTTTCTGAAATAAAAATATTAAAACTTAGTAAATAAAACAGATTTTCAATACATGACGAGATAATTCTGGATGCTATAACGATTTCTGTTAAAAATAAAAACAGGGGCTTCCCTGGTGGCGCAGTGGTTGAGAGTCTGCCTGCCGATGCAGGGGACATGGGTTCGTGCCCTGGTCGGGGAGGATCCCACATGCGGCGGAGCGGCTGGGCCCGTGAGCCATGGCTGCTGAGCCTGCGCGTCCGGAGCCTGTGCTCCGCAACGGGAGAGGCCACAACAGTGAGAGGCCTGCGTACCGCAAAAAAAAATACATAAAAATTTAAAAAATTAAAAAAATAAAAACAATGCATCTAAGACCCGACACAGCCAAAAAAATAAAGGAAATAAATTTAAAAAATAAAAGAAAACAAAAGGCACCTGTACAACAAAAATTCTAAATTGTATAGAAATGGACAGTGCTCATGCGTATGGACTATATTATTTCCTTCTTTCATTCTGCAATTAGGATCTGGCAAATCACTGATGTGCATGGAATCCAGAGGCTGAACTATGTCAGGACAGTCTGAGCTATTTTGACAATTCTGGCCATAGTAAAATGCTTGAGCCATTTTTTAAATCTTATTGTATCTTTTTGCAAAATGTAAAGGAAGACACATTATGCACTTTAAAAATATGTTTGTGAAATATTATGAAATCTACCCTTGAAAATTATTTTTCTAGAGGGGTTATACATGGATAAACACTAGAGTCAGGCACATATGCACTTGAACCCTTACTGAGTTACTTTTCAAATGTGTGGTATTGAGCCAAGGTAGTAATTTCTTTAAACCTCAGTTTTCTGTATGTTTAATGATGAAGATAAGACCCATGCATAGGATTGTTCTTAGAATTAAATGAGATGCAAATTGTGGTACATCCACACAATGAAATACATGTAGCTATTGGAAAGATTTAGATGGCCCTGTATGGGATGTTACAAAATAATTGCCAAAGGGACTTCCCTGGTGGCGCAGTGGTTAAGAATCCACCTGCCAATGCAGGGGACACGGGTTCGAGCCCTGGTCCAGGAAGATCCCACATGTCTTGGAGCAACAAAGCCCATGTGCCACAACTACTGAGCCTAAGCTCTAGAGCCTGTGAGCCACAACTACTGAAGCCTGCGTGCCTAGAGCCCATGCTCTGCAATAAGAGGAGCCACCGCAATGAGAAGTCTGTGCACCGCAACGAAGAGTAGCCCCCGCTTGCCGCAACTAGAGAAAGCCTGTGCACAGCAACAAAGACCCGACGCAGCCAAAAATAAATAAAATAAATTTATTTTAAAAAATTGCCAAGAGCTAGTTAGATTAAAATCATCTAACATTAAAGTATTTTAGATTTTATATTAAAATATATATAACATATGCACAGAAAAATTTTGGTGGGATATACAAAACGTGGAAATGTGTGATAAGGTAAAGGAAGAATAAGATTTAATTTTCATATTATGTCCTTTTATACTGTCTGATGTCTTGCTATTCATATTTTTATGATTAAATGCATAGTTTAATTTTTTTAAAGGATGTAATTCATTAAAATGATTAATATTATCTGGCATATATGAGAGCTCAATAGATGTTGGCTGCCAGTTATAAATGCTCCTTTTCCCCATGAGATGTGATAGAAATTTTGCTCCTGCTCTAATAAGTAATGTAAAGTTTGAGGTTAAATAAGGAGTTGGCATGGGAACAGATGGATTTTCAAAGTTCCTGTGATAAATGTCTCCAAGTGTGGGTGCATTGTAAACACAGGAGCACCAATAGTATGAGGGGCTACTTAGAAAGACTGCTGGCCATTCAAGGACATCTTTACAAGCATAGTGCACAGGATGAAGAAGGTAGCCCTTCCTGTCTACTCCTTCCCAGTCACAGCACTCTGGAACCTTGTGCCCCGAGTGGCTTCCCTATTTTAGGAGAGATGTCACAGGTTCGAGTATGTGCAGAGGAAGATGACCAGGACAGCATAGGGAGCAGAGTCCATATCAACATGAATAGTTCATGGAGCTGGGGACCCGGAGAAGTGAACGAAAGGGACCCCTCATAATGACAATTCAAGGGCTGCCACACAGAAGAGGGATTCAACTTAATCTCTGTTAGTTCCTGAGGGCAGAACTGGGACCGCTGAATAGAAGTTTAAAGGAGACATATTTCAGCTTACAGCTGCAGCTAAAACCCAGCATGTCATGATTTATAGCAGCAAATGCCACCCTAGGCAAGGATAGAATTTTCTGTTAAATTCTGAAGA